AACCTTGAGTACTGCTTGGTATTCTCTTCCCCATTGAGAGCAGGAGAGATTTCTGAAATAGAGGGAATACAGGCAACCTATACGGCGCGCGCGCACGATACAGGACCTAAATTATTGCTCAAAGCTCTCAAAGTGTACTCTGGAATGATGACGAGATGGGTGTCAAGTAATATATACATAGAAGATACTGGAAAACCAGCTGCCAAATTTACTGAATAACAACATACTTATGCGGAAGATACGGAAGGAAATGCTGAATAGAACCAGTGAAGAGTAGAGGTGCCATAGGCACTGTGTGAGCACCACATAAATGTCAGAGGTCCACAGTCATTATATACTCTCCCAGCAAGCATAATAAATGTTACCCAAACAATGGTGGACTTCTTGAAATTGAAATATGTTTATTGAGGTAAAATACACACATAGGGATGAGGTAGCTCAAGCTGTTCTCACCCCGTTCAGTACATCGTGTTAATACATACATAGACACACATGACAAATAATAAACGTATTACCGAACAGTCTGAGAGATAAACATATACATTCCTCCTTAACACAAGTAGTATGGTATCAGACGTACACACAAATACTTTTATGATTATCTTGAGATTATCTTGAGATGATTTCGGGGCTTTTTAGTGTCCCCGCGGCCCGGTCCTCGACCAGGCCTCCACCCCCAGGAAGCAGCCCGTGACAGCTGACTAACACCCAGGTACCTATTTTACTGCTAGGTAACAGGGGCATAGGGTGAAAGAAACACTGCCCATTGTTTCTCGCCGGCGCCTGGGATCGAACCCAGGACCACAGGATCACAAGTACAGCGTGCTGTCCGCTCGGCCGACCGGCTCCCATAAAGTGTTAGGTATATACCTAACTATATATATACGAGCTTACATGCATGAGTCATGCATGTAAGCTCGTCCCAGGTCGCAGTCCCTCGTGCCTTATCAAAAGCTTCTTTCATGTCAACAAAGACATAGCTGATTTAGCTTTGTCAGTAGCTAAATAATTAACTCTACAATTCATGTGACGGTCGGTTTAAGGTGATCCTTTCAAGCATCTTGCACGTGTATCATGGGAGACTAATTGGTCTGCAATTACTACAATCTTTTAGTTTTGGATGGCGGCAATTACTGCGCTTTTCCTTTGTTAGGAAACAGTGAAAGTACGATACCTCTGGCCTCCCTCTCCTGAGGCACGATACCTCTGGCCTCCCTCTCCTGAGGCACGATACCTCTGGCCTCCCTCTCCGGAGGCACGATACCTCTGGCCTCCCTCTCGTGAGGCACGATACCTCTGGCCTCCCTCTCGTGAGGCACGATACCTCTGGCCTCCCTCTCGTGAGGCACGATACCTCTGGCCTCCCTCTCGTGAGGCACGATACCTCTGGCCTCCCTCTCGTGAGGCACGATACCTCTGGCCTCCCTCTCGTGAGGCACGATACCTCTGGCCTCCCTCTAGTGAGGCACGATACCTCTGGCCTCCCTCTCGTGAGGCACGATACCTCTGGCCTCCCTCTCGTGAGGCACGATACCTCTGGCCTCCCTCTCGTGAGGCACGATACCTCTGGCCTCCCTCTCGTGAGGCACGATACCTCTGGCCTCCCTCTCGTGAGGCACGATACCTCTGGCCTCCCTCTCGTGAGGCACGATACCTCTGGCCTCCCTCTCGTGAGGCACGATACCTCTGGCCTCCCTCTCGTGAGGCACGATACCTCTGGCCTCCCTCTCGTGAGGCACGATACCTCTGGCCTCCCTCTCGTGAGGCACGATACCTCTGGCCTCCCTCTCGTGAGGCACGATACCTCTGGCCTCCCTCTCGTGAGGCACGATACCTCTGGCCTCCCTCTCGTGAGGCACGATACCTCTGGCCTCCCTCTCGTGAGGCACGATACCTCTGGCCTCCCTCTCGTGAGGCACGATACCTCTGGCCTCCCTCTCCTGAGGCACGATACCTCTGGCCTGGAGGGTCAGGTCCCAAATCTACACAGTAAAATAACAACATACTGGAGTGAACGACATGGAAGAAAATGCAGAATAGAACCAGTGAAGAGCAGAGGTGCCATAGGCACAATCAGAGAACACTGTATAAACATCAGAGGTCCGCGGTTGTTCAACGTCCTCCCAGCGAGCATAAGAAATATTGCCGGAACAACCGTGGACATTTTCAAGATAAAACTAGATTGTTTTCTTCAAGGAGTGCCGGACCAACCGGGCTGTGGTGGGTATGTGGGCCTGCGGGCCGCTCCAAGCAACAGCCTGGTGGACCAAGCTCTGACAAGTCAAGCCTGGCTTCGGGCCGGGCTTGGGGAGTAGAACAACTCCCAGAACCCCATCAACCAGGTATCAACCAGGTAAAACTACAAGTGAGCTTCGCGTCATCCTTGGCTGATCTACAAGTCGGCATGAAATTTGCCTTTGTAAAAAGTACACAAGATGAGGACAGTAAAGAAAGCTGATAATGTTGTTAGTGAGACGAGTTGAGTGGAGCAGAGGTTGATGGTGATGACAGGAGAGCAGAGGAAGGCGTGGGTGGAGCAGAGGTTGGTGGTGATGACAGGAGAGCAGAGGAAGGCGTGGGTGGAGCAGAGGTTGGTGGTGATGACAGGAGAGCAGAGGAAGGCGTGGGTGGAGCAGAGGTTGCTGGTGATGACAGGAGAGCAGAGGAAGGCGTGGGTGGAGCAGAGGTTGATGGTGATGACAGGAGAGCAGAGGAAGGCGTGGGTGGAGCAGAGAGCAGTAAGTGACGGTGACTTAAGCAAGTTAGTCAGTGGGCTGCGGGGTGACCTTTATACCTAACTGTTAGTGCGCCTTCGTAAGTGGACAGGAAATTGTATTTGTGACTACGTCTTAAATCTTTCAGTCTGTCTTGGTGGTGTTGGTGGCGATGTTGAGGTGAAGATGGTCTTGTTGGTGCTAGACCACCAGCACCTGCCTCACACACACGCCTATACGGCCTCCTCGCCAACCACCAGAGTCTGTGAAAGAAGGTTGTACAGAGACGGTAATGCTGCGAGGTAATGCCGCGAGGTAATGCTGCGAGGTAATGCCCTGGATGTTAGCGAGGCGTACCCTGTATATGAGCCCGCTGGCTCCTGCTGCTGTTACAGATTCAGCTGCTGGAAACCAAAAGTTGCAAGTAGCACGGGCTATGGTGAGCCCGTGGTGGACTTGGCCGGCACAGTAGCGGGGCTGTAGTGCCCCGCTGGCTTAGGCACACCTTGTTAACTTACATCCCACCATCTTACCCACTAGTCCTCTCCCCTTTATCCTCTATTTCTTAACATTTTGATCCTTATTTTACCCCTCATCTCTTATTCTTTCTTCTCTTTACCTTCAAGTACCCTTATTAATACAGAGTAATCACACTAACGTGACTGCATTATTGAGAAAATCCATAGGAGCCGTGGCGAGGGCTCGAACCTGTGCGATAGGTGTTCCCACACACGCCCTAGCCACTAGACCACCACGTGGTGTAAGCAAGAAATATGAACCAATAGGCTTTCTACAATCACTTCCATTTTAATATATATATATATATATATATATATATATATATATATATATATATATATATATATATATATATATATATCTATATTATATATATATATATATATATATATATATATATATATATATATATATATATATATATAACATTAACAATTGTGTAACTAGCGTCAAAATATTGTCACTGGCTTAGCTAAACAAACTCTGGGGTTCAGTTCCTGAACCTATTATGTGCCTCTGTAACCCTTGCCACTACCGCCCACGGGATGGGTATGGGGTGCATAATAAAGATATGAAATGGAAGTGGGGGGGAAATACAACAGGCCGGTAAATAATAACGTTGTAAGGGTGGGCGTGATGCCTAAACTTGACCATATTTACCGTGAAGGGCTGGTGACTGGTGGCAACACACAAGGTAACATGCCAGTGGTCTTCATCCAGTTGCTGTGTTGACGTGTTGAGGGGGAGTTAAAGTGGACTTGTATTTCTACGTCACACGGCATAGAAATTTGTAAGCAAATAAAGAGGTATTTTAGCTATAAAATGTTTAAATATAGCCCAAATATTGTTTCTCAACAGCTTTGAAATGGCAGTTTATGATTATGTAGAGACAATGGTCCTGTCTCGCCTGGATCACACGGTGTGGGGTTAGTGAGGGTCAAGCCTCCACTCTACCACTTGCTCCATAACCTGAGGGCAATTATGCAGCCCTCCATAACCCGGCGTGGCAGAGGGGGGGGGGGCAGTGTTCTCCCTCCCTGATTGAGAAAATTAATTTTCTTTTTATCTGCTGGATAAAATTGTAGGTCTGTTTCACCTAGAATGAGTCTCCTTGCGAGTTACTTTGCTCGGGTCCTATGAATGAGACAATGACAATTAGTGATTAGCAAGTACGACTGGTCATACGTGTTTAAATATGGATTGGTCATTGATGGGGAGGAGATGTGGGCCCTCCAGCACTAGTACACACCATATCACTACACTCCTCTGCCTTTCCTACCCAAACTAATCTCTCATTGATTGATGAAGACTTAGCAGCCCGATTGCCACCCAAGAGGTGGCACTGGCATGGGGGGGGCAGTGTTCCCCCCACCCTGGCGTCGGGTGTGGTGGGGGGGGGGGCAGTGTTCCCCACCCTGGCGTCGGGTGGGGTGTGGTGGGGGCAGTGTTCCCCCACCCTGGCGTCGGGTGGGGTGTGGTGGGGGCAGTGTTCCCCCCTCCCTGGCGTCGGGTGGGGTGTGGTGGGGGCAGTGTTCCCCACCCTGGCGTCGGGTGGGGTGTGGTGGGGGCAGTGTTCCCCCTCCCTGGCGTCGGGTGGGGTCAGTGTTCCCCCTCCCTGGGGTCGGGTGGGGTGTGGTGGGGGCAGTGTTCCCCCTCCCTGGCGTCGGGTGGGGTCAGTGTTCCCCCTCCCTGGGGTCGGGTGGGGTGTGGTGGGGGCCTGGTGTGTAATATTGGGGTAATAATGTGTGTTGTGATCTTCCACCACAGGAGCGACGCGGGAGGTGGGCGCGGCGCTCACCAGGATCTGTCTACGTCACCGAGCCGTTGAGTCCCGGGTGAAGAGCCTCACCAGGTGCGTGCTGGTGCTTCTCCTCCTCCTTATTCCTCCTCCTCCACTTACCGCACCTCTCATGTCTCTCATCCCCCCCATGTCTCCCCCCCATGTCTTGAAAAAGAAAATTTTTCATCCATGATAGAAGCTTACCTGTCACCCCTCCAATATTTTCCAGTTTCCAGAACAACCTCTTACGTGGAACTCTGTCGAAAGCCTGTTTTAGGTCCAGATAGATGCAGTCAACCCAACCATCTCTTTCATGTAATATCTGTGGCTCGATCATAGAAACTGAGTAAATTCGATACACAGGATCTTCCAGATCGAAAACCATACTGTCTGTCTGATATTATATCATTTCTCTCTAGGTGTTCTACCCATTTAGTTTTGATTAGTTTTTCCAATACTTTCACTATTACACTTGTCAATGATACAGGTCTATAATTGAGGGGGTCTTCCCTGCTGCCACTTTTGTAGATTGGAACTATGTTAGCCTGTTTCTACACGTCTGCTACGATTCCTGTACACAGGGATGCCTGAAAGATCAGGTGAAGTGGAATGCTGAGCTCAGATGCACATTCTCTCAGAACCCATGGTGAAACGCCATCTGGGCCAGCTGCTTTGTTCTTACCGAGCTCCTTGAGCATTTTTTCCACTTCGTCTCTAGACACCTCTATGTGCTCTATGTTGTTCTCTGGAATTCTTATTGTATCTGGTTCCCTGAAGATTTCATTTTGTACAAACACACTTTGGAACTTTTCGTTTAATGTTTCACACATTTCCTTTTCATCTTCCGTGAATCTATTTCCCATTTTCAACCTCTGAATATTATCCTTTACCTGCAATTGGTTGTTTATGAATTTATAGAATAGACCCGGTTCTGTTTTACATTTGTCTGCAATCCCTTTTTCAAAATTTCTTTCTGCCTCTCTCCTCACTGCCGTGTAGTTGTTTCTCGCATCTTTGTATCGCTGGTATGTTTGGGGGTTCGGCCTCTTCCTGTATTGATTCCATTTTTGTGTCTTTTGGTCTCTAGCCCTCTTGCAATTTCTGTCGAACCAATCCTGTTTTCTGGCCCTGCATCTCTGTTTTGGTATAAATTTTTTTGTGCCTTTATCATATATTTCACAAAACTTGACATACATCTCATTCACTTCCTTGCCTAGCATCAAGTCTGTCCAATTATACTCACTAAAAAAATTTCTAAGGTCACCATAATGTCCTCTCCTGAAGTCTGGTTTTTCAACTGCTTCAACCTCCTTATTTTCTTCCAGCTTATAACGCATTGCATACTTTATTCCCAGAAAGACATGGTCACTTTTACCCAAGGGAGGAAGGTACTGAATGTCAAATATCTCTTCCTCCTTCCTGGTAAATATCAAATCTAGCATGGAGGGAACGTCCCCTTCCCTCATCCTCGTAGCTTGTTTAACATGTTGATACAAGAATGTTTCCAGGATGAGGTCTACAAATTTACAGGTCCAAAAATCTTCTGTTTTAGCTTCATATGCTTCCCAGTCTATGGATTTCAAGTTGAAGTCACCGACTATCAACAGTCGTGATCTATCGTTATCCGCTCTCGCTATGATCTCTCTCATTATTGTTATAAGACCTTCACGTTTACTATCTAGCTCCTCCTTTGACCATGTGCTGCTTGGCGGTGGACTATATGCATTTATTATCATTAGTTTATCATCCTCATGGCAGATCTCTAGTGCTATTATGTCAACTTCTTGTGGATTGGCAGTCATTATTTTGTTCACCTTTAAGTGTTCTTTCACGAGCACAGCAACGCCACCACCTTTCCTAATTTTTCTGTCCCGTCTCCAAATTGAGTAGCCCCTTGGGAATATGACCTCATTTAAAATTACATCTTCAAGTTTTGTCTCCGTGAGTGCAACAATGTCTGGTGTCTGCAGCTGTATTACATCACTTAACTCCAGTATCTTCGATCTTAGCTTACAAGGTTACAAGGTCTGCTTGAAGCACGTACCTGTGAGGAGGGGCAGAAAGAGGACCACTCTAGAAAGAGAACGGAGACGACTGTACAGGAGAAGGAAAAAAATAACGGAAATGCTTCGGCAGACACAACTATCACAAGCAAGGAAAACAAGCCTAAGCAGGGAGATTGAGGAAATAGAACAAACGTTGAAGCGATCATATGAGTCTGAGGAAATGGAATTGGAACAGAAAGAACAAGAAGAGATAAGGAAAGATAAGAAAGAGATAAAGGAACAAGAGATAAGGAAAAATCCGAAATATTTTTTCACATACGCAAAATCAAAATCCAAAACCTCGACCAGTATTGGACCGTTAATTACAAATGAAGGTACGTACACAGAGGACAACAAAGAGATTAGTGAAATTCTAAGAAGCCAGTATGAGGCTATGTTTAGCACACCAATAAACAACATGAAAGTTGATGACCCAGACAGCTTCTTTATGAATGACATTCAAGCTGCAGATAATATAACGGATATTACCACAAACTCGGAAGACTTTGAAAGAGAAATTGATAATATGCCTATGCACTCAGCTCCTGGGCCTGACTCATGGAATTCAATATTCATAAAGAAATGTAAAGTACCAGTAGCGAGAGCACTCAGCGTAATATGGAGAAAGAGTCTGGATACAGGGGAGATACCAGCAGCACTTAAATCTGCAGATATAGCTCCGTTGCACAAGGGGGGGAGTAAAGCCTTGGCAAAAAATTATAGGCCAGTTGCACTAACATCACACATAATAAAAGTGTTTGAAAGAGTGATTAGGAATCAAATTTCTAGTTTTATGGAAAACAATGAATTGCACAATCCAGGACAACATGGATTTAGAGCGGGAAGATCCTGTCTGTCACAGTTACTCAACCACTATGACAAAATCACAGAAGCCCTAGAAGAAAAGCAAAATGCAGATGTTGTATACACAGACTTTGCAAAGGCGTTCGACAAATGTGACCATGGGGTGATAGCTCACAAAATGAGGTCAATGGGAATAACTGGAAAAGTAGGACGCTGGATACTCAATTTCCTGTCGAACAGAACACAAAGAGTAACAGTCAATCAGATAAAATCGAGTCCAAGCGATGTTAAAAGCTCTGTACCTCAAGGTACAGTCCTTGCACCGCTACTGTTCCTTATTCTCATATCTGATATAGACAAAAATACACGCCACAGCTTCGTGTCGTCCTTTGCAGATGACACAAAAATCAGCATGAAAATTACCTCTGCTGAAGACATTGAAAAACTACAAGCAGATGTCAACAAAGTTTTTGATTGGGCAGCAGAAAATAACATGATGTTTAACAGTGATAAATTTCAGGTACTCAGGTACGGCAAAAATGAGGATCTGAAACATAATACAGGGTACAAAACACAATCGAATCTTCCCATAGTAGGAAAACAGCATGTCAAGGATTTGGGAATAATGATGTCCGACGATCTAACGTTTAGGGAGCATAACCAAGCAAATATCGCGTCAGCCAGAAAAATGATCGGATGGATTACGAGAACTTTCAAATCCAGGGATCCCATCACAATGGTTGTACTCTTCAAGTCACTTGTGCTGTCCCGTCTCGAGTACTGCTCAGTACTCACTTCCCCCTTCAGAGCAGGAGAGATTGCTGAAATAGAGGGAATACAGAGAACATATACGGCACGCATAGACGAGATAAAACACCTAAATTATTGGGATCGTCTCAAAGCTCTCCAAATGTACTCTCTAGAAAGGAGACGAGAGAGATACCAAATAATATACACCTGGAAAATACTGGAGGGTCAGGTCCCAAATCTACACAGTAAAATAACAACGTACTGGAGTGAACGATATGGAAGAAAATGCAAGATTGAACCTGTGAAGAGCAGAGGTGTCATAGGCACAATCAGAGAGCACTGTATAAACATCAGGGGTCCGCGGTTGTTCAACGTCCTCCCAGCGAGCATAAGAAATATTGCCGGAACAACCGTGGACATCTTCAAGAGAAAACTGGACGGTTTTCTAAGAGAAGTTCCGGATCAGCCGGGCTGTGGTGGGTACGTGGCCCTGCGGGCCGCTCCAAGCAACAGCCTGGTGGACCAAACTCTCACAAGTCGAGCCTGGCCTCGGGCCGGGCTTGGGGAGTAGAAGAACTCCCAGAACCCCATCAACCAGGTATCAACCAGATCTCACTCCATCTATGTTGGTGTATGCAGTCTTCAGGAACTTGTTCCCCCTCTCCTTATTCTTCACTCCCCCTCTCTCAATTGATTTTGTTGGTTTGCCTTTATGTACCACTTTACTGGTCTGCCTACCCCTATCACTTTGTAGAAAAAAGAATTTATTTCTTCTTCATTCCTGCTCTCATTTAAATGTTTTGCATCGGCGAGGTTCAGTTTCAGCTTCTCTCTATCTTCTTTTGAAAGATCTCGTCTTAACGACCACACTTTCCCATCCTCATCACTTTGCAATTTTCTAGCATTCCTTAGTACTTCTTCCATCTGTTTGGCACCGTTTAGGGTGATCCTCAAAGGTCGATCTTTCCCTTTTACGTACCTGCCTATTCTCCTGTAGTCGCACACATTCTCTATGGTTTGGGGGGGGGGGGACTACGATTGAGATTGTGAGTGTGTGTAAAGTACATTTTTATTTGCTATTTGCATTTTTTTATAACATTTAATGTCATCCAGTAATTTTTTATTGGCGAGTGTGGCACTCTAATCAGTGTGTTTGGTTTGTCTTCCTCAGCGCGCTGGTCGAGTGTGTGGTGGTGCCGCTCCAGGAGAAGTTGGAGGAATGGCGACGCTCTCAGCACGCACTCGATAAGGACCACACTAAAGGTAACTCACCCTAGTTCCTCATACACCTAGATCTCACTCCATCTATGTTGGTGTATGCTAAGTCTTCAGGAACTTGTTCCCCCTCTCCTTATTCTTCACTCCCCCATCTCTCAATTGATTTTGTTGGTTTGCCTTTATGTACCACTTTACTGGTCTGCCTACCCCTATCACTTTGTAGAAAAAAGAATTTATTTCTTCTTCATTCCTGTTCTCATTTAAATGTTTTGCATCGGCGAGGTTCAGTTTCAGCTTCTCTCTATCTTCTTTTGAAAGATCTCGTCTTAACGACCACACTTTCCCATCCTCATCACTTTGCAATTTTCTAGCATTCCTTAGTACTTCTTCCATCTGTTTGGCACCGTTTAGGGTGATCCTCAAAGGTCGATCTTTCCCTTTTACGTACCTGCCTATTCTCCTGTAGTCGCACACATTCTCTATGGTTTGGGGGGGGGGGACTACGATTGAGATTGTGAGTGTGTGTAAAGTACATTTTTATTTGCTATTTGCATTTTTTTATAACATTTAATGTCATCCAGTAATTTTTTATTGGCGAGTGTGGCACTCTAATCAGTGTGTTTGGTTTGTCTTCCTCAGCGCGCTGGTCGAGTGTGTGGTGGTGCCGCTCCAGGAGAAGTTGGAGGAATGGCGACGCTCTCAGCACGCACTCGATAAGGACCACACTAAAGGTAACTCACCCTAGTTCCTCATACACCTACAATAGTATCACACTAAAGGTAACTCACCCTAGTTCCTCATACACCTACAATAGTATCACACTAAAGGTAACTCACCCTAGTTCCTCATACACCTACAATACGCCATACACCATACGCTGCAGTCTCCGTGGTGTAGTGGTAAGACACTCGCCTGGCGTTCCGCGAGCGCTATGTCATGGGTTCGTATCCTGGCCGGGGAGGATTTACTGGGCGCAATTCCTTAACTGTAGCCTCTGTTTAACGCAACAGTAAAATGTGTACTTGGATGAAAAAACGATTCTTCGCGGCAGGGGATCGTATTCCAGGGACCATAGGATTAAGGACTTGCCCGAAACGCTACGCGTACTAGTGGCTGTACAAGAATGTAATAACTCTTGTATATATCTCAAAAAAAAAAAAAAAAAAAAAAAAAAAAAATAGTATCACACTAAAGGTAACTCACCCTAGTTCCTCATACACCTACAATAGTATCACACTAAAGGTAACTCAACTCATTCAAAGTTTCGACAAGTGTGGTCATGGCGTTATTGTACATACAATGTGCACAAACGGTATGACTGGCAAAGTAGGGAGATCTATATTTAATTTCCTATTGGACAGAATCCAGTGTACTGACCTAGTTGTGCTTGCGGGGGTTGAGTTTTTGACTCTTTGGTCCCGCTTTTGGTCCCCCACTAGGAGCATATTACACACAGTGTATAATAGTCATTAAACTAACACACGTATCTCCCACCTTGGAAAGTTCCGTCCTTCAGGGTACTGTGATTTCTCCAGTTCTTTTTCTAATCCGGATATCGGAGAGAGAGGAGGACGCCAATCATCGTACCGTATGCATAGTACTTCTTGCAACTCTTCATAGGGATTAGAGGGACTTGTTGCAAATTTTCATAGGAAAAATAACTGGCCATGAGACCAGGAGGCATGGCAGGATGTGCAAAATAGCTCCATTACAAATTGGTGAACGGTTGGAACAAGTTAAGTGAGACAAAACCATCAGTAGTTTGAAAGCTTTATATGATAGTACTGGTAAGACAACACCAGGAGCGTAGCTCTCACCGTGTAACTATGTAATTACACAACGGTAGAGCGGCCTCTAACACTTCTCTCACTCTCTTCTTCCCACCCGGCTTACAGACTACAAGAAGGCGCGCTCTGAGATAAAGAAGAGGACCGAGAATGCTGCCAGACTCCAGAAGAAAGCTAAAAAGGCTGGCAGGAACTCAGAGCTCAACAAGGTAAGGTGTTGAGAGTGTAGAAACACATGTTAATAGTAGGCATCCATCAGTCTCAGGAGACTATGGAGTTGCGCTCTGGGGTCGGCTAGGTCTGGAGTGGCCTCACCAGGGTGCAAAGCCAGGGTAGGTTGATTCGGAGGAAAAGCTGTTACCCAGGCAGCAAGTCCTCCCTCTCCACGGTGCTGAAAGTCTCCAATGGAAAGGCATACGCCAATACGATTGGTTTCAGCACCGTCGCAGGAACTGTGAGTTGCAGTGATGACCTCGAAGTTGGTGAAGAAGATACTGTTGGCCCTGCAGTATATTCTTCGCCAACTTATGTTTAAATCTGTCCAGTGAGTTAACCTCCAGATATTTGTCTGGTAACTTGTTCAAAACATTAGCTGAATAAAAATTTATTTATTTATTAGCAATCTTATTTTTGAACCAGTGTTTATCTGTTTATTTTATTACTCTAAATTTCTCCATTTAGAATACACTGTACAATAATTGTGTAAATCATGTGGAGGGAGGGAGGGAGGGGGGAGGATGATGAACAGGTTACCTTACCTTGAGGTTACCTTGAGGTGCTTCCGGGGCTTAGCGTCCCCGCGGCCCGGTCGTCGACCAGGCCTCCTGGTTGCCGGACTGATCAACCAGGCTGTTGGACGCGGCTGCTCGCAGCCTGACGTATGAGTCACAGCCTGGTTGATCAGGTATCCTTTGGAGGTGCTTATCCAGTTCTCTCTTGAACACTGTGAGGGGTCGGCCAGTTATGCACCTTATGTGTAGTGGCCAGGAGAGCCACTATGTGTAGTGGTCAGGAGAGCCACTATGTGTAGTGGCCAGGAGAGTCACTATGTGTAGTGGCCAGGAGAGTCACTATGTGTAGTGGCCAGGAGAGCCACTATGTGTAGTGGCCAGGAGAGCCACTATGTGTAGTGGCCAGGAGAGCCACTATGTGTAGTGGTCAGGAGAGCCACTATGTGTAGTGGCCAGGAGAGCCACTATGTGTAGTGGCCAGGAGAGCCACTATGTGTAGTGGTCAGGAGAGCCACTATGTGTAGTGGCCAGGAGAGCCACTATGTGTAGGGGCCAGGAGAGCCACTATGTGTAGTGGCCAGGAGAGTCACTGTGTAGTGGCCAGGAGAGCCACTATGTGTAGTGGCCAGGAGAGCCACTATGTGTAGTGGTCAGGAGAGCCACTATGTGTAGTGGCCAGGAGAGCCACTATGTGTAGTGGCCAGGAGAGCCACTATGTGTAGTGGCCAGGAGAGCCACTATGTGTAGTGGTCAGGAGAGTCACTATGTGTAGTGGTCAGGAGAGTCACTATGTGTAGTGGTCAGGAGAGCCACTATGTGTAGTGGCCAGGAGAGTCACTATGTGTAGTGGCCAGGAGAGTCACTATGTGTAGTGGCCAGGAGAGTCACTATGTGTAGTGGCCAGGAGAGTCACTATGTGTAGTGGCCAGGAGAGTCACTATGTGTAGTGGCCAGGAGAGTCGCTATGTGTAGTGGCCAGGAGAGTCACTATGTGTAGGAGAGCCAGGCTCCACACAGTCTAAAGACTGGGTCAGTACAGCCTAGTGATTCAAAGTCTGTTCTTCAAGCAATCGAAAACTTCCCCTGGAAGATCGACAGTAAGAACCTTATACTACCAATTATAAATCAACTAATCGCTGCACAGAGTAAAGGGTTTCGAATCTCCTTTGTATGGATACCATCACACATAAATATAACCCGTCATAATGAGACAGACATTGCACCCAAATTAGCGTGCAACAAAGATGAAGTTGAATTAGGTCTAGGTATCCCCATCTCTACTGTCAAGACTATATTGGTCCAAACATTCAGGTCTGATAGGAAAGAAATTACTGATTCCCAACGACCTGAAAGCACTAGTATAAAAAGCTATGATTTGTTCTGATCTGAAACCTTTATTTATGGGCAGCACAAAACGTGGACCAGACTGTGCGACACAGTGGTTACCAGGATCAGGTTGGGTTACCGTTACCTGTGGCAGGTGGCTACAGGTGACGGATCTCCCAATCCTGAGCACTCCAGGTGCAAACTCTGTGAGCAGGAACTGCGGCATGATCTCCCACACTACATCACCGAATGTCCAGTTATTAGACCATTCAGACCCGTTGGCATGAGGTACTTGGAGCTTTGCAATTACTTTATTCACTCTCGTGTTCTTGAAGATATCCTCATAATGCACCCAAAATTTGCCAATGCAGGCTACTGAACATATGCCTCTGTTTGACTAACCATCCTGTGTGATTGATTTTTTAGCACCACGTAGCTAGCTTTTTGACACTGTGTACTCCCCTTCATATAGCTAGGGTAGCTGCACAAATGCAGATGTACCTAATGTATTAATGAAAAACAATACAACCTATCGACACGTGAGCTGGGCGGCGATGAACGTGACTGTCACCATCGCCTCCTGGAGCATATAGCGTTGGGAGGGCAGCTGACACGGCTGCAGAAGCAGCTAGAACCTCCGCATTAGGCTCTGTGCCAAGAATCTCAATGTCCTCCCCCACTCAATATGGAACTGAAGGAGGCCCAGAAAATGCACGACAGAACTTAAATGCAAATGAGCATAAAGATCGTCCACTACAAGCGCCATCGCTGACAACAAAGACTGACAAAGAAAGGCCACGGAGCTACACGAGACCCACATCCTGAGAGAGCAGGACCAAACAGGCAGTCATTGAGGGGCGCAAAAGAAAGGCTTCCCAGGAAGCCCTATAACATGGTCAACACCTCGTGCCACAAAACAAGTGGGTACGACAAAAGTTACACAAGGCATTAAGTAAAAACAAGGGATTGTCTGCTAGCCCAGGAAGTCTCTGAAACCTCCTAATGCATCCAAAAGGAGAGAAAATACCCAAACTCAAAAGAGGCATAATCCAAGTCTCACAAAGTATATAAAGAGAGCCTCCTGAGCTACCAAAGAAGAGACCTGAGAGGAAGGAAATCTCCAGAACGACGATCCCAATGGGACCAAAGGCACAAAAAACTAAACCTTGGAGAGCCGCACCCAAATTATACTTGTGCAAGGAGAGAGGATACAAAAACACCACTCTGCAAAAGGAGACCCTCTTTGGAGGGAGCAAGGAACCACTTGGGTTCGAAAAGGGACCCAAGAGCCTATATCAGACTTCTCCAGGCTCCAGAAGCTGCATTTAAGGGTCCCGGGGTGCAGCCCGAATCCACATCCATCACCTGGATGGATGGGATAGAAAAAGTGAAGTCCAGGGGAGGCTTTAAAAAAAAAAAAGTCGGGGGAAGCTGCCTGAAAGGAAAACCCAAAGTCTAGGCAGGACTAGCCAGCTCAAATGTCTATGCGCCCGAATCAGAAGGGGGTTACTTGCAACCCGTTCTCGCAAATTCGTAAAGTCAATATTGACTTATTAACTACGTGCATAGGTGATATACTAAACATAATACCCTTAAAAAGATTCATAGAAAACACTGACCTTACCTAACCTTGTTAGTATCTTAAGATAAACATCTTATTACTTCGTAATTACAATTATTACTTAACCTATACCTATTATAGGTTAGGTAATAATTGTAATTACGAAGCAATAAGATGCTTATCTTAAGATACTAACAAGGTTAGGTAAGGTCGGTGTTTTCTATGAATCTTTTTAAGGGTATCTATTATGTTAAGTATGTCACCTATGCACATATTTAATAAGTCAATATTGACTTATTAAATTTGCGAGAACGGGATGCAACCACCCAACAGACAGCATGGTGGAGGCAGAACAAGTGATTGTCATCTCACAGCACAGATGACGAATAACCCTCAGAGTCGCACAAGGTGAGAGCAGGTTCAGGTAGATATCCAGAGGAGCATCAAACCTGCAGGGTATTATCAGGGCCTGAAGAGTAAATCAATCAGGACAGCCAAACACTGGATACACTACACCAGACCAAACAGTAAGCTAACATAGCCTGGGTTACACAGCTGTGAAGGCCGACTGCACGCTGAAGGGTAGCCCACGAACTACCAGTGTGCCCCACCAGCCAAAATCGCTCCTGACTCGGGTTAATTAAGACAGAGAGGTCACCAGTCCCCTGACTCACTCTGGGCGAGGGCCACCACAAGTGGACCTTCAGTTCACCTCACAGACTAAGCATAGTTCATCGGCTAGTTCCTTTATAACCTTGGATTGAATTCCATCTACATTTGGAGTTTTGAGTCTTAGTTTGACAATGCTCCTTCTGATTGTCACAGATTATGGGTATGTCCCTTAATTCGTTCTCTTCACCTCCTTCAAACATTTGTGTAATTAATGGGATGTTGTCTAATCTTCCTGGTATGAATGCTGATGTAAAGTATTCATTCAAAGCATTTGCTGCCCTTTTATTGATCATTATAACTTGGTCAGTCTCATTTTTTAAGGGTCCTGATCAACCTGATCAACCAGGCTGTGACTCATACGTCAAGCTGCGAGCAGCCGCGTCTAACAGCCTGGTTGATCAGTCCAGCAACCAGGAGGCCTGGTTGACGACCGGGCCGCGGGGACGCTAAGCCCCGGAAGCACCTCAATGTATGTATGTCCTAGCAAGACCTTTGTTTTGGTTTTACTTCTTATATAATTATAGAATGACTTTGGATCTTTCTTTGTTTTGGCCAAGTTTGTTTTCTTTCTTAGTTTCTCTTGGCTGATTTGATTTCCTGAGTGGCTGAATTTAATGCCCTTTTATATATATATATCATGATCAGTGTTGTTCATTGTGGATTTATACCTTTCCCAGAGGTTCCACTTAGGTAGTAAAAACGGCTTTCCTGTCTCATCCAGCAAGTTCCCTTTTTGTTTCTCCTTTTTGGCACATATTTTTGAAAGAATGCAGTGATGATTTTGAAACTTTCACATGATGCTTCCATTACATCATCACCTATCAGCTCCCAGCAGGAGCTGGAGAGATTGCTGAAATAGAGGGAATACAGAGAACATATACGGCACGCATAGACGCAATAAAGCACCTAAATTATTGGG